GTGAAATTGCTGGGTCATAAGGCAGTTCCATTTTTAACTTTTTGAGGTAACTCCATACTGCTTTCCACAGTGGCTGCACCCATCTGCATTCCCAATAGTGCATGAGTGTTCCCCTTTCTCCACATCCTCACCAACACTTGTTGTTTGTTGGCATTTTTCTTTTCATTTTGGAGATTGACTATCATTTTGTACTCACCTAGAAAGTGCTCACCTAAAGGGTTATAATAGGAACATAGGGGTAAAGTGGCAATGCGTAAGAGACAGTTTTTTCCACTGGGTTTTCTCTTTGTAATTGAAGAACCACTCTCAGAAGAAGAGAGATTAGCACTACCTCCATAAACTAAATGCATACACAATTGCATTCATGTGGTCATTTTTTCACATCTGAATGATGACTCTAATTTTACATGGGTAGTGAAATGCCTCCTTAAATGTCCTTAATTTCAGGATGGAAATTCTTAAATCCAGGCTTTAAATTTAAATTCTCACTTTCTAGTTCAGAACTATCTCCTTCACAAATTATGGGAGAAAAGGACAGGACTAGATTTTCCAGAACCCTAACTGCTTTTCTTCTTTTTTTTCAATCCTCACCAAGGATATGCTTTACTGATTTCAGAGAGAGGGCAAGCAGGGGAAGTGCAAGTTGGGAGGAGAGAGAGAGAGAGAGAGAGAGAGAGAGAGAGAGAGAGAGAGAGAGAGAGTTAGTCATGGATGAGAGAAACATTGATCAACTACCTCCTGTATGTGCCCCTACCAGGAATTGAATCACTAACCAAGATATGTGCCCTGACCAGAAATTGAAACAGCAACCTTCCTGTGTATGGAATGACACCCTGAGCCACACCAACCAACTAGGCCATAACTGGAATTCCTGAAAAGCCTTACAAGCATTAGTAGACACCTGTTCAGAACAAATTTGAGGCTTGGGATTCTAGGGATGGCAACCCAGCTGAGACTACTTCCACCCTGGAAGTGAGATGTGGTGAGAATGAGCAGACAACAGAGAGAGAAGACCTGGCTTGAACCCAGACTCCCCCACGCTCTGCATGGCACTTTATATATCTTGGCCTCCATTCATAAATATGCAAACCACAAACAATACTTAAACAAATGTGCCAACTTTGACTTGGTTATTAGGCTCAAAGGAATCAATTTATTAACAAGCCTGAAGTAAACTAGTGAGCCTTTCACTTAGAAATATATCAAAATAGACAACTAGACTAAGTCCATTTTCTTGTCAGTCCTAATAAGGTGATTGGCATGTAAGGGGATTGGCTTTCTAATAATTAGGTCACCTCCTTCCCTCCAGTTGGGCTGGTAATCAGTTTTTTAGGTTAACCTCTGCTTGGTATACCTTCCTCTTACTTTCAAAAGCCCAGCATATGCTGATACCGGTTTGGCTCAGTGGATAGAGCATCAGCCTGCAGACTGAAAGGTCCAGGTTCGATTCCGGACAAGGGCATGTACCTTTGTTACGGCCACATCCTCAGTGGGGGGTGTGCAAGAGGCAGCTGATCAATGATTCTCTCTCATTGATGTTTCTAACTCTCTATCCCTCTCTCTTCCTCTCTGTAAAAAATCAATAGAATATATAAACGGATGAACCAAAAGATAGATATAGAGACAGTTTATCAACAAGTAGACTGTCAAATTACAGCGGGGAGGGGAGGAAGATCTGGGAGAGATAATAGATCAACCGAAGGACTTTTATACATGCATATAAGTACAACCAATGGACACAAAACTCTGGGGAGGGAGAGGATGTGCGGGAGGAAGGGAGGGGGGCAAAAAAAAAAAATCAATAAAATATATTTAAAAAAAAATCAATAGAATATATTTTTTAAAAAGGCCCAGCATATTCACTGGACTTTCAAAACAGAATGATGATTCCTGGGGAAGCAGCAGAGGTGAAGTACCTGTTTTAATGCAAAAAGCTTTATTTATTTATTTATTTATTTATTTAATAAAATATATTTTATTGACTTTTTTTACAGAGAGGAAAGGAGAGGGATAGAGAGTTAGAAACATCAATGAGAGAGAAATATAGATCAGCTGCCTCCTGCACAACCCCTACTGGGGATGTGCCCTCAACCAAGGTACATGCTCTTGACCGGAATCAAACCTGGGACCTTTCAGTCCGCAGGCCGACGCTCTATCCACTGAGCCAAACTGGTTTTGACAAAAGCTTTATTTATTTTTTTTTAAATATATTTTTGTAGATTTCACAGAGAAAGGGAGAGGGGGAGAGAGATAGAAACATCAATGATGAGAGAGAACCATTCACTGCCAACTGCACGCCTCCTACTGGGGATCAAGCCTGCAACCCCGAATGCAAAAGCTTTAAAAACCAAAACAAATAAACCAATAATAATTAAAAAAAAATCATAGCAAAGTTTAAGTTGGTTACACCTACATCTCCACAAAGGGTCAGCTGCCTTAGTCTGAGCTGCCTCAACAAAGGGTCAGCTTCTATTCCAATTCCCTTAATTTCTTTCTTAATGTAAATGTTTTCTTAATTTTTAATGGAGATGTAATTGACATATAACAATGTATTAGTTTTAGATGTACTATGTGCTTTATATTTTTTTCAACCCTCCTTAATTTCTGATGAGAAAATATGAACATAGGCAGCCGCAAGGGGGTATGTTAGAAAAACCTGGGCTTTGAACCTGATAAGGAAGTTCAATGCTGCACTTGCCAAGGTTACTAGCTGGTATGGCCTCAGGACAAAGGACGCCAACTGGCAAATCCCCGCCTTTCTCTACTCCACAGGGATGGTGCCCACGCCTGCTTCCCGGGTGAGGCCAGGACTCACTGAGATCACCTGATTAGGCCACCCGGCTCAAATTAGGGGCTCCATAGATGTCAGATTCCCTTCTTGTATAGGACCTTAGATTTTATTTTATTTTGTAATTTTTAAAAATATATATATATTTTATTGATTTTTCCACAGAGAGGAAGGGAGAAGGATAGAGAGTTAGAAACACAGATGAGAGAGAAACACTGATCAGCTGCCTCTTGCACACTCCCTACTGGGGATGTGCCTGCAACCAGGGTACATGCCCTTGACTAGAATCGAACCTGGGACCTTTCAGTCCGCAGGCCAACGCTCTATGAGCCAAACCAGTCAAGGCAGGACCTTAGATTTTAAATTAAAAGCTGCATATTTCTGAAGTAGCAAAGTGTATATTTAATTTTTGGAGAAAACGGGGTCCGGCACTCCAAGGGCAAGTACACCAAAAGGATGCAGGTGCCATTTTCTGTCAGGTCACATACCTAGACTTCAGGGTCCATCCCCAGTCAAGATGCATGCAGGAGGCAACCGATCGATGTTTCTCTCTCACATCAACGTTGCTCTCTCTTTGTCTCCCTCCCTCTCTAAAAAATCAACTTGAAAACACACACACAGATCCTCAGGTGAGAATTAAAAGAACAAAAACAAGCTGGAAGAAGAGCTTCTGGAGACCAGCACTCAGGCTGGTGCTTACACCATCAGCAGGGAAGGGAGGGAAGGCCCTTGTCCCCTGGAGCCTGTCTCTGTGGGCTGGCTGGGTGGTGATGCCTGCCACATACCTCAGGGCTGACATCAGCGCCTGCCTGGCTCTCCCCGTGGGCCGCCTCAGAGGAAGCTTTTTGTGTCGGTTCTGGGTCCTTATTATGCTATTACGCCTGAGCTGGTCTCCCCCGGAGAAGCAGGGTCCGGTGGGACGGCAGGAAGAGGTGGTCTGTGTGGCTATTTTGATTCTCCTTGAAGCCTTTTCCGATTCTGAGACACAACACCAGGGCACAATCCTCCCATCCTCTCTGTCTTCAGCTCTAACCACGCCTCAGGGACCCAGGCTCCACCCACAGAAAAACAAACAAGGCTTTGATTCTGTTGTGAGAAAATCAAAGAACTGCTGAAACTCGAGAAAGAGAGAGAGAGAGAGAGAGAAAGAGAGAGAGAGAGAGAGAGAGAGAGAGAGAGAGAGAGAGAGAGAGAGAGAGAGAACTACTCTTTACCATATACTGTGTACTACTTTCCACAAACAGCCCCAATCAGAAAGAAGAGACTTGTGTGGAGCTTTATGAGCTGCCTGGAAGAGTCTGAGAGCTATTTTGGCTGTTGCTGCCCAGTGAATGGGGTTTCTGAAATTAGTCTTTGAGACTCAACCTTCTAAAAAAAAAAAAAAAAAAAAAAAGTCTTCAACACTCACCCTGGAAAAAAGACTGCCTGCCAAGTTCAAATTTTCCTTGGCCAAAGGAGTACCAATTTAGCTCTTCAATGAGGTTATAAAGAAAGTATTTCCCCTTGACTTCAGAGAAAACACCTTTCATGTGACCTCCAGACTGTTAATTATTTTTTAAAGGAACACAAAATAAACTATCCACCCCCCTCCCGCCCTGCCTCTCCCCACCCCCCCTCTACTCCAAAACGGCGCTTGTCACTGAATTCTGTAAGATCAGAAGCCAGCGGGCTGGTTACCCTTTGGGGACCAGGGTGACGATGGGGAGGTCTTCTGGATGCTGGTCAAGTTCTACTTGCTGAGCAGGCTGCACCCTGCCACCTCCGCGCTTTTCTGAACGTAAGGGACACCTCAGTAAAAAGTCCTTTCCAAGCAAAGCAATCCCGAACGCCCACTGTCCCCCCCCCGCCCCCCCCCTGAAGGCAGCAAACACAACTTTCTGTGCGTGCACAGCCTGCAGAGAGCCCCTTTCAGAAAACCCTCGGCAGTCCTGTCACACTCACTGCACAAAGTCAGCCGGCAATCCGACGCTCAGAGGGCAAACTCGATCCCCGGGCAGAACCACCAGCGGCTCCCACTTTCCCAGCCCGACTGGTAGCAGCCCTGTGAAGTCTGCTTTCAGGAGCTAAGTTTGCACTCAAATCGGGGCGGGCGAGGTGGAGCATGCTGATGTTTTGAACTCCCAGAGAAGTCTTCCTTCACAGAATGCACGGCCCTACGAGGTTACTGTTACCAGAGATGTGCCTAATCCATAAAGGCAAAGTGGGTGCTTACCTATTTGGTCTTCGGGGATCAAAGACTCAATGGGGGGGTCCAGCTCCGAGCTCTGCGACAGGTAGTTCTTCACCTGGGTCATGAACTGCCGGATGGTCTGCAGCAGGTCCGTGCTGGACACATGGCACTCCTTGTTCTCCTGCAGGAAGCTCACGTAGTCCTGCACCAGGCAGCCGAAGTAGGTGCACTTGTCCCGGGACAGCTCGGAGATCCGGCGGACCATGCGCTTCTCGGGGGTCATGAAGGAGCTGAACACGCCGCTCATCTTGCGGAGCTGGGACTTGAAGAGCTTGGGCAGCACGAAGGAGCTGTTCCTCTTCTTTTTGGACTTGATGGGGGGGGCCATGGTCTCCTGATCGCTCTCCTCCTCGTAGTCCTCCTCCAGGCTGCTGTTGGTGTCCACCTCGTAGCCAAACAGGGGCATGCTGCGGTCGAACTCGAGCGAGTCGGAGGAGGAAGTGGAAATGCTCATGTCGCTGAGCCTCTGTCTGCCTCCTCCATGCCACGGGGGCCGTGATTCAGAGCAGGCGGGCAGGGCCCTTGTGCAATCCCCCGGGGCCTCGGCAGGCGGGGCGCCACCTGGGCTGCCAGCTGCGCTGGGCTCCGGCTCCTCTTGCGGCCGCAGCAGCTCCCGATCCCCGTCCCCGTCGGGCTGGCTGCCGGTCAAGGTCTTTGCGCCGCCTCCTCCCGCCTGCAGAAAAGAAGCCTGCTTCTTCAGCCGGGGTGGAGGGATGGGGGTTGGTTTCGTTCCAAGCAGAGCTACGTTCCCATGTTTGTGATGGTTGACTGTTTCTGGCATGCTCGCCCGGGTTTCGGTCCCGGACAGCTGAGGGCTTGTGTGCAGACTATTAATAGCGGGCGGCGGGGGCCTGGGTGGGGGGGACCGAGGCCTCTCGGCGGTGCCATTCGCGTTGGGAGTCCTAGTGCAGGGCCGCTTCGGGCCTCCGCTGAGGTCCTGGCTGTGCACTTTCAAGAAAAGGGGATTAATGAAACACAGGGCTCCGTTGGTCTGGCTGCACTCCAGCTCCGAAGGCGTCCTGGTTTTGATAGAATGCACTCCATTTATAAGGCAGAGCTGGCGGGAGGCAGGGCAAACGCCTTCAGTGGAGGGAGGCCTATGGGGAGGTGGAGGGTTTGGGGGTTTGTTGTCAGCTGGAGAGCTCCAGAAATCTGAAAGTCATTATCAGTGAACACAAGAATGTAAATACAGTACACTGGGGTCATTCCTTCACAAATAAAATAAAGCAGCACATTTTCATGACAGTTGAAGGGGAAAGAAACACTTTGTTTTGTTTCTGTTTTGTGTGCTTTACCTGCATTTCCTTACTGGGAGGGTAGAAATGCTGGGGGCCCAGCTGTGGGCTCAGGCAAGGCTTCAGGGGTTTTCACCTTCAAAGCCCTTGAGACATGATTTGGCCAACCTACAAAGCCAGCCCAGCCTTCTCACAGGTGAGGAGTAAAGAACCCGATCTACAGTGTTTGTTTCTTACAGCAGAAGCTTGGAAAAGGCCATATGGGGCTCCCTGACTTTACAAAAAACCAAGCCACAGCACCCTCCCCAACAACCCCCTTCTCCTGGGATGCCCTCTGCCGAGGACGGGCACTTCCCCTTTAATGGCAGGAGCGGCAGCTGGGCTTGAGGGATGTTACACAACCCGCTTGGGGTTTTACGTGTTCAGCATTAAAACCCCAAAAGGAAGAAAAATATACTCATGGGTCCCATCAGCAAAAAAAAAACAACAAAAAAAAAACGAGGACAGCAAACTTATGCAAATGTTAAGTCCAAGCTCAACTGTGTATCTTTGTGGTTTGCTGCCCATCCGCCCCAAATCCTATAACCGCCTCAACCAGAGCTATACCTATTCAACACACTTTGGAGCAGTGCACGCTGCCTATTGCAGTAACACTGCCCGAATCCCCCTTTCCAGATGGGTCTCAGTTTTCCATACCACTCCAGGAAGGAGGCAGTGCTGTCTGTTGTAATTTCCATCTGGAGTAGGCCATTCTCTCTCTCTAGCTTTGCCTTGCTGTGCTTGCTTAACATGTGTTTCTTTCTTGTGGGCCCAGAATGGCTGGTCACGGGGAGCACCTGCCCTGCCTCGTCTGTGACGGAAACACGCCCGACATGGGGGCTTGTGTCACCTGCTTTCTCGTATCCTTCCTTCCCTTCCCTCTGGTTCTGAGCTGTCCAACACGACAGCCACCAGTCAGTTATCTATTGAAACCCAGCTCCTGCCACAGAGAAACTCAGCTTTCACTTTTATTTAATGTTACTTAAAGCTCAATTCAGTTCCTGGAAAACTGTTAAGCAGGCTTAGAAATTGGGTATGTGAATCTACTTTTTCCACCACAAATGTAATGAAATCTAAACACACATCATGTATTTCTGTTGACAACTTAGTGCCTAAACAGAGATATGTTGTAAGGAGAAAACACATACTTAGTATGAGAAGAAGGATGTCAAATGTTTCATGAATGCTTTAATATTGACTATATGCTGAAATAACATTCCCAGGTATCTTTCATCCAATAAATTATAAAAATTAATATCACCTATGCCCTTTACATTTTCTTTAGTGTGGCTCCTAGGAAATTAAAAATTACACCCTGGCTGGCCTCCTATGTGTTTCTATTGGCTGGTGGGGGTCTCGGTGGAACTGCTCCGATGGCCAGCCAGGGCCAACACAAGCCATGTTTGCCTTTTTCTTTGCAGGGCACTGCTCCTGTCCCTGACCCTTCAGTCCTTCTGCGTCAGCACAAAGCAAACACTGCACGCGGAGCCCTGAGCAGGAGCTATGGGGACAGGCACCACAAGAGAAAACTGAGCCCTAAAGATGGATGTCTTCCAGGAGCCTATTGTCTAGCTTAGGGGTGTCGAACTCAATCAGAGAAGGGGCCAAAATCTAAAACCCAGCCTAAATCGCAGGCCGAATGGTTTACTGAACAGTCATAAACTGTCATTGTGATGGAAACGCAGCGGAGTGCAGTGATGACAGCGCGGTGCGGGCCACATTGCAAGGCCTGGAGGGACGGATTTGGCCCGCGGGCCTTGTGTTTGACACATGTGGTCTAGCTGGTGATATTAACTTAAATTTAGGAACTGTTTCAAACAAACTCTAAAGGTGTGGAAAACTCAGTTTGCAGGAGATGGCATAGCTTTTCCACGGGGACATTAATACAGCCCTGGTACTGTTAGCAGGATTCTATTTTCCAATCCTACTACCCAACTGCCCAGGGCCAGGCTTCGGACACGCTGGGCAATCCTTTTGGAGCGATCCAGGTGGCAGAACAGAATCTGAATCTACCTCCAGGCTTCTCTTCTAATGATGCAGGCTCCCTTGGCAGTGACATCGGCTTCAAAACAAGTTTATATTAATAGAAAAATATGCCAAGGGGCCAGCACATCTATTTTTATTTACTGGGCCAAATATAGTGTCTTAGGCCTTAGGAATCCCAGCACCTGCCCTTCCGAGTTGCAAGCTTCCATTCAAAGACTACGGCCCGGTTGTTTATCGGCAGACGGAAGCCCTCCAATCTTAAGAGAATTTTCCCTTCTCATCTAGGAAGGAAAGGTTTTGTAAAAGTTATGCCCACATGAAATCCCCAGGACAGTGGGACAAAGAAGTGAAACTGGGTGAACGGTATGTCCGGACCCGCTGTCAACCCCCGTTCAGCAGCATGGTGTTGGGTTTACAGGCATCCAAGAGGCCGGAGGAGGAGCAAGTGCCAGCCAGATATTATGTACCTGGCGGCTAAGGGACGTGGCCCAGAACACCAGGACTGGAACCGAACAAGAGAGGAAGTGCGACAGATGTCACTACAGACGCCTGTGCTGCCAGGAGTGCCATCGATGTCTGTGGTTCCTCCTGCATCAAACCGGTTTCCCTTTCTGTCAGGCACTGCCTTTCCCCAGTGAGATGCCCCAGAGAGGAGGAAGATGACACCCTGCAGAAGTGTGCGTTAGATCAGGACATTTAGGGGCCGTGGCGGTTGTTGTTACCCAGACAAACTCAGCTCGGGCCTTGGCGGATTGGTGCAACCTCTGATTTAGGAAAAGACTCTCAGAAGAGGTGATTCATCAACCTTTTGGACCTGAAGTATTGGGGTGGAGATCGGGATTACTCTTTGATGTATATTCAGCCAGCCCCACATGGACTCTGCTCCATGGAGTTATTTTCAAGAGACCTGGGCAGGGGCCCCCACTTACTTAGTCCCAGCTGGGCTAGTTCTTCAAGCTGAGCCTCCGTCTTGGCCGTGGAGATGGCATAAGGCAACTTCAAGGTGAACGGCAGAACGTCCCTAATTTTTCAGGAAAGAAAGTATTTGTAATTGCATGTCATGTTCCTATCTCTTACTTTTATTTCCATCCTAGACATATTTTAGCTTGAGCTATTTTAAGTGTCCTAAGTAGACACCAAATCATGCCTAACCAGAAAACTTCTGCCTGTGCTAACACCCTCAGGACCAGAATTCCTTTCTGGTTAGTTACAATGTAGCTAGGGTTAATATCGGAACTGCTGAATAATCGGTGGATCTATCATAGACATAAAACATTAATACTAACTTACTAGATGCTTGAATGTTGGATCCCAAATACCAGGGCAGGAATGTGCAATTTGAAACCAACATTTATTGTCCCATTGCCTTGCACGTGGCAGACTCTCAATGAATATTGACATAAAAGTTCTTCTGTCTTTCAGGGGAGTACACATGAACCCAGTGTATAAGGGGTAGGGCCTTACTCTAAGCATTGGTGCGTTCTTCACAGGGATCAGCACCATGCCTCACCTACAACAGACAGGGAGAAAGTGTGTTTTGAATAACTGAATGGATGAATGTTCAATACAATGGTGTTATTTATTTTTTTTAGTGGTGACATTGGTTTTATAATGAATTCATTAATTCAACACATGTTTATAGTCATCTATGATGTGCCAGACCCTGTTCCAGGGTGGTGGGAAAAAAAAATACAAAAACAGACAAAAGTCCCCACCTGCACGGAGCTTCATGTAAGTGGACACCAATAAGCAATAAACCATCATGCAATTGATAGAAGCTACCAGAAGAGGATGTGTGCCCTAGATAAAAACAAAGTGCAAAAGGGGCACAATGAAGAGTGTTCACGTGTGAGAGCTGGCCAGGGTCGGCCCCAGGAGCAGATAGCATTTGGTTGAAGATCTAGAAGTGGCCAGGGAGTAAATGTGAGGAAAAGAACTTTCCAGGCAGAGGGAGCAGCAGGTGCACAGGCCCCAGGATGGGAGAGGATGTGGCCTGTGTGAAGAACAGCCCGGGGCCATCATGGCTGGGGGGGAGGTGGGGGGAGTGAGGGACAACACTTGGAGCTTCTGCTTGTGTGTTGTCTATACAGGATGGCCTGAAAATTTCCATTGAAGAGAATAACTACACCAAAAAACGTGTTGTTTACTATAAGATAAGGCAACATTCTTGGCTGCCTCGGATTAAATCCATTAAATCCGGAGGACTGAGAATTTTGGAACCCTTGAAGCTGCTGACAATGAATAACACATTAGAAAGGTCAATGAGAAGAACCAAACGTAAATAAATGTCTAGTGTCACGAGGGTTCTAACACACTGCTAGTAAAAATGCTAGGCGTCGGGGGCAAGCTAGAAGGGGTCAATGGGGGAAAAGGGAACATATGTAATACTTTCAACAATAAAAGTTTTTTTTTTAATGCTACAAGTTGGCAGTCAGGAGGCTCCTGTTTCCTGGGGTGTCTAGCCTGGGTCACCTCCTGCTTCCAGAAGAACCTTTCACCTGCCCCCCACTGCTGTGAGGACCTCCTTCTACTTGTCACCTTGCATCTGTTCTAGAGGAAGCAGGTGGAGCCTCAGGGGATGGCAGCATTTGTAACAGCTGCTGCCTGACCCGGGAGACACAATGACCCTGATTATAATCTTACATAAAGATCAGTGGGAACCAGGACTTTGTAATGCCTAGGTGCATTGGGAATATATGTTTTTATGGCAGTACCAACTTAATATCTGCTTTCATTAGGCAATTTGGGGGAGAAAAACCACATACAACACAATCAACCTACTTTTATTTTAAGCTTTTACCTTGCCCAATGCAGGACCTTGAGCTTAAATATCACATGACTGTTTTGTTTTTTCTTAATGACATAGATGACAGGAAACAACACCTGCCATTTGCTAATGGGTGGTTTTAGGCTTTGATCTACTAGAAAATTAGATGTTGTACATGAGTCCTCTCCCACTGTGCCAGCCAGCGCCCAGCACAGCATCTCCTCCAAGCACATAAGCACATCCTCACAGGTTCTCTCTCTCAGTCTCTCAATCTCTCTCTCTCTCTCTCTCTCTCTCTCTCTCTCTCTCTCTCTCTCTCTCTCACACACACACACACACACACACACACACACACACACGGGGGCACTTCCTTCTCATCTACACACTGTTAAGTAAAGGGGCCCTGGTTCTAAAACTTGCATAAAAGACAAAATAAAGCCATCTTAGGTATAACCATTTCACCCAAGGCTTTCGTTTCATCTTAACTTTGCTCTATACATGTCATATTTCTAAAGGGGAGACAACTAACTTCACTGACTACCTACTCTTGCATTGAACCGAGCACCTTACCTCTGTGGGGCCCACACACAGCCTGGGAGGAAAGTTACATGTCCCTCCTCCCACAGGTCAGGAGCACAGGATAAGGGAGATGAACAGGCCCCTACACCCACTCACAGAGCTGATGTGGGACGAAGAGTTGGAACCCAAGTCTATGGATCTGGGCTGGTTAAGTGCGAAAATATGGGCTTTGGTATCAAGGCAGGACTGAGTTCAAATCCATTATATGCTCCTGGTTAATTGAATGTGGTTACAATGAGGATTAGAGCTAATGTGGTAATGGTATCTTGCATAGATACAGAAAGCCCCTGAAATGACAATGATACTTAACAATTAATCATGATAATTATTTCCTCTAACCCCTTGCTACTCAAAGTGCAGGCTCGGACCAGCAGCCTGGGCCTCATCCCTTGGGCTAGGGGTGTCGAACTCAATCAGAGAAGGGGCCAAAATCTAAAATCCAGCCTAAATCGCGGGCTGAATGGTTTACTGAACAGTCATAAACTGTCATTGTGATGGAAACGCAGCGGAGTGCAGTGATGACAGCGCGGTGCGGGCCACAATCTAAGGCCTGGTGGGCCTTGTGTTTGACACATGTGCCTTGGGCGCTTGTTGGAAATGAACTCCCAGGCGTGGCCACAGACCCCCACAGTCGGAGGCTACACTGTAACAAGATTCCTGGTGGTTCTGGCACAAGTTTGCCAGGCAGTGCTCTACACTACACTGATGACACTAACCCGCAGAGAGCCACGAGGCACCGCTGGCCATGATGTACCACTATTTGTATTCTCAGCCATGCTTTTCCATGTGCCCTCCCGGTGCGGCAAATCACATGCTTATTGATCTGTGAATTCTCTCATCTAGTGTATTACGTGCATATATGCTCTGTTTGAATGCCAGACCTGACAGTCCAGCCACCGTCTCTACCTGAATATATTCAGGTACTAACAACCAACTAGGACATTGCAAAAATATGTTGGTAAGACTGGATCAAATCAATGAAGAAAACAGATTTAAGTAAATGAGTAACATGATGAAAAGGAGAAACAAAAACATCAATAACCTTTGCACCTTGAAATGAATAAGGAAGTGAATCTCGGGTCTCCCTCATCACAAAATGTCAACGCTGGTATGTTTCTATAAGCACCTTATTATATTCATTCCCATCATGCCTTGTAGTTTAGAAAAGACTTTCTGTTCTCCTTCAATCATAGAACAGGCCTGGACAGCAGGCATTCCAGTCTATTGTGAACACTGAGGGGAGAGATGGTATCTTTCATATGCAGCTGCCCAATGCTGGTGTATAGGTGTAACAATCTTTCACAACAAAGCAGTTACCAACAAGCAAACTATGAAGACTAGTACTGGTCAACTTCACCTCTAACCAGCCTGGTAGTGTTGACAATCACTCCCAGGGCCCGATCTGCCTCCAGCCAGACCAGGTGCGGTCCCTTGGGGACGGTAGAGGCTCCTGCCCACACCTTGGCAGGTTTCGTCCCCTGGGGGACCCTCACAGGGCTCTGGTCCAATTCTAGGTGAAGCCCCTGCTTCTCCCTGCAGCACAGAGTACCCCTCCAAAACGGTCTCCCCATCCTCAGGCCATCGGTTGTGTGGCTTCCCCTGGCCTGGTGACCTCCAGGAGCAAAGAGCTTAGTACCTGCCCCTGAAAGGCCGAGTCCTGCGGTCGGCAAACTGTGGCTTGCGAGCCCCATGCGGCTCTTTGGCCCCTTGAGTGTGGCTCTTCCACAAAATACCACAGCCTGGGCGAGTCTATTTTGAAGAAGTGGCGTTAGAAGAAGTTTACGTTTAAAAAAGTTGGCTCTCAAAAGAAATTTCAATCTGTTGATATTTGGCTCTGTTGACTAATGAACTTGCCGACCACTGGCCTAAGTCCAACAGGTACTTAAGTCTCTGACCCTTAAATTTAGCCTGACCCTTAAATTCACATAAAATAAGCCAGTCCCAGGTAAGCTTCTTGGCCTCAGAGAGGCTGCGAGAAGTGATCTTTGAAAACAACCAAGAATAAGCAGTGCACGCCTGCCACCTCTCTTCCAGCTGCAACAGACACAGGAGGGCACAGGAGGCCAGGTGAGCTCAGAGGGGCGCTGGTCCCACCAGATAAAGAGGAGGGTGCTGTATCGCTGGAAAAGCACTTGGTCTGAAAAGCTGGGATGGCTAGAAAGTGAAGAAGAGAAGGTCTTGCACAACTCCCACCCTCCTGACGCTGGTTAACGTTGTGGTGTTTGGCTTAACGTCACATCGACTGAGACGGTCGCTTTAATGAGGAAAAGGACGTGAGCACCCAGCGGCCCCGAAGGATGGCGATGCACCGTGTGCGGGCTGGTGTAAGGAACCCAGGCTTTCAGAATGAACGGCACTCCTTGAAGAGTTTTCAGAGAAGTTATCAAGGACCTTTCAATGTGACTGGCCCCTTTCTCTGTGTGTGTGTGTGCGCATGTATGTGTAGGTGTGCACGTGTGTATATTAAGGTGACCAGACGTCCCGCGTTTGGCGGGACAGTCCCGGTATTTAACAATTTGTCCCACGGCGTTTTAAAAACAGATTTTAATTAAAACCAGGGCTGTTTAAAATGCCTCGGGACGCGGGACAAATTGCTAAACATTGGTACTGTCCCGCCAAAAGCGGGACGTCTGGTCACATTAGTGTATATGCATGAGTGTGTTTCCCCTGCTGGGTGGGTCTCTGTAAAAGGAGCCATGGGAGCAGCTTGGGAACATAATCATACTAATGAGTGAGATTTCACATCTGGGGGGGGGGGGGAAAGGGGGGGACAGAGCCATGATCTGGGTCTTAGGCCTGGTACCGTGGGCTTGGTGACCGTTTTATTCCAGTGGATAATCCTTCCAGGGACATCGAATAGGTGTAAGCCTGACAGATCCCTCTGCCCTGTTTGAATCAAGAAACTCGGGCCAATTCTGTTGCATACCCAGCAGGTGTTGGAGATGATAAGCGAAGAGGCCTTACCTGCTGATGCAGTAGAAAGCAATGAGCCGGAATAAATCCGCAAAGCTGATTCCTGAGCCTTCCAGGGAAAAGGCTGGAAAAGAGAGATTTGGGAAACTGGCTGAGTGTCCCTGAGCATGTTCTGGGAAAGAGAGGCCGCCCCTGCACTGCTGCCTGCTGCGTGTATGGGACCATCCCAGCACCCGGCGCTCTCAGACAACTACTGTGCACTTATCGAAACCAGCTGTGAGGAGGGTGCACGCCAGCCGGAAACAGGCCAGGGCGGAGTGGACGGCTTGGAAACGCGGCCCCTGACTCACTAGGAGCCACAGGCTTCAATCCTGGTAAACAGTCCAGCACATGCTCCAATTGCACAACTTTCCCCCCCCCCCCCCCCCCTCTCTCTCAAAATTCAGAATACAAAGTTGGGCAGGGAGAAGGGGCCAGTCTGGCTGGAGAGAAAGGCCATCAGCATGTGGCAGGGCTTGGGGAATACCAAGGCCCTCATTGCCCTTGACCCTCCTGAGGTAGACCCCCTGGGTTACATTCCTCTTTGCCTAAACAGGCCAGCTCTGGTAAAGACGCAAGGCACAGGGAGCACAAAGCTTGGAGACAACACAAGATGTCTAGGAGTCAGCTTCTGTTTGAATTCAGTGTGAAAAATTCTAAAACCCACTTACACAGAGCGCCCCCTCTCACCACTGCCACCACCAAGTGCACAAGATTCCTAACGGAAAAGAGATGTCTGGCAAGATAGGAGGCCATCTGTACGTCTTCCGGGTGATGGGACAGCCTGTGGGTGGACTTCAAATGTTCATGTGTTTGCCAACCACGCCTCACACCATGTTGGCTGGGGTACCACTCATGCAGTCATTCTTCCCAAAACATTCCAGACATCCTTAGCTTTGGGAAGATTTCTCATTTCCTCAATCAAATGAGGTTTTCTTCCTTTTTTTAAAATATACTTCATTGATTTTTTTACGGAGAGTAAGGGAGAGGGATAGAGAGTTAGAAACATCGACCAACTGCCTTCTGCACACCCCCTACTGGGGATGTGCCTGCAACCAAGGTACATTGAGCCTGGGACCCTTCAGTCCCCAGTCCAACGCTATATCCAGTGAGTCAAACCGGCTAGGGCAAGGTTTTCTTCCTTTAATAACACTCCATATCCTCATTTATTTTGCCTATAATTTGCCTATAATTTGCTTGTGTTGTGTTATTTTGCTTAGTATTTCTGCGGCAGCCAAAACACACCAAATATATCACAACAGAGACCCACAGAAACACACTCTCTCACCACAACTTAGTGAATTAAATAAGAGGGGGCCATTTGGGGGAGGTTAACATCTCTGAGCCTTGGTTTTCTCATCTCTAAAATGGACAACAGTGTGGAGAGGAGCAACAGCATTTGGACAAGTTCAAGCCTCAGACTAATGGGAGGGCACAGTCCTCTCACTGTTACCTGCAAGTCCCAGCTTGGAGGGCAGAGCCCTCTCAGCACAATTATAGCCAACAGCTATAGTTGTAAGCTTGAATCTATGGTCCGAACACGTGGCCCCACGTGTCTGAGTGACGTGGGCCTGATAGAGTTCAGGTGCATGTAATTGAGTAGACTGGAACATTGTAAACATCTTGACCACGCTCTGACTTTGCCTCGGGGAATATGCCTATAAAATAAAGACTCAGCTCACAAGCTGTGGCGCCGTCGCTAGCTCTCCATCAGAGAGGACAGCGTCCCACCGAGAACCCAGCTTTCATTCTCTTGTCTGTCTTTTCTCAATCCTTCACCGCCCCCTCTCAGGCTCACCAAACCTGGCTCGGCACACAACAGTAATACTTTCATTGTCTCTCAGAAGGGTAGTAGTGGGAACTGAAATTTTAAAAAATGGAGTAATCTATGTGAAAACAATCTATACAAAAATAAGGTGGTATTTATTATTAAACCACATCTTCTAAATGTTACAAAAAAAATCCCCCCAAAAAACAGGTACCTGTTTTTATAACAAGTCCTTCCTCTTCCAATCCACCTCAATTCGAAGAGAAAATAGGACCTGGGAGGGGCCATCACAGTGGGACCAAGGCCAGTTACGGCTACCCTAGTGCTTTGTGCATAAATAGCTCTTTCAACCACTAAAGGTCCCCTTGAAAGGAATAAGGAAGTGACCAAGGTCTTGACAAAAGAGGGAAACTTTTAGCTGGGAGGGACTTCAGATGAACATCAAGAAAGTCACTAAAGGGGTTTCCAGACTAACTTATCATGGTTAATATTAGAAGATACTTAAAAACAAGTTCTTGGCTGGCAGACTTCCAAAAGCCAATTCAGCACTGCCTTGTTCACCTAGTGTTTAATTCATTAACTTTAAAATGGGAGGCTTGAAATCTATGCTCCAATTACCTCCTCATGTAAATAAACTATTAATCATTCACCGGGTTTAATGAGTACTCCTATGTCTGCACGTGGACGTTCTTCCCTGGCACCAGTGACCTTGTGAGCCCTGGAGGAAAAACATCGCAGGGCCTTGCTGAATTTGAGGCCGGTCACACAGAGGTGGGGAAGTTTCGTTTCTGCTGCCAATGTCTCCTCCAGACCCAGGTAAGGGCCACTTGGCTTAGTGAGACGATGGAGGCCGGTCTGAGGGGAATCCCAGACCTGCCCTTACATGGACCGTGGTACCTTCCGGTTCTTCCGATGCAGAGACTGGGGTCCAAATGGCGAAGTGAGAACCCTGGTCTCAGCCTCGCTATTGGAACAGTCCATGGGCCTCCCCACGTGCTCCTCCTGCCTCCACGCTTCAGCCTGCTGACCTGCGATGTCAACGAAGCCCTTCCCTTTGGGGTGCAGACCTCTCTTCCGCTCCTTCTTGGAGGCTGGCAGCACATGGGAACTCTGTCCCCTTTCCAATTTGAAACTTGGCCCCCTGATACTTCACGTTTCCAGGGACCGTGGGAGACATATCAATGCTACTGCATGCCACTCTCTCCTCAAAACTTAGTGCTTCTTCCTAAGGGATGTATCCTGCCTCTGATTTGCTGCGTTTCACAGAAAAGTGAACAGCAATCGCCTGGAGGAAAATATCTGCTCCAGGATTATTCACGGAGATGTGCAGAAACATGTTTCAGTGTTTGATCCTATAAAAAGACGGCCTGTTCCGAAGCTTAGTCATCAGCAAACCTGGGCACCAAACCCATCCTGTGCTTAACCGGGAAGCGGGTGAGGAAGCCAAACTCTACTGAGCCTCTGCCATATGCTGAGCAGTAGGCTGCTCACTTTGCACATAGGTTGTTTAACTGAACGGTTAACTTTCTGAAGTTACCACTGCCCACTCTACAGATAAGAAAACTGAGGTTCCTGGGGCACGTTACCCACCCAGTTGTTCAGTGAACCAACGGCAATGGCAGGACTCAGACCCACGACTGCCTGTCTCAAAGCACAGCCTCCTTCCTGTGCCTGCGAGGCCTGAGGCCCTCATGCCAACCAGGACCCAACCACCCAGTGACCACTTACTGTATGTGCTTTCCTTTATGGCAAATTCCTTGAGTGGAGTTCCAAATTCACAGGGCAGGCGAAGGGAGAGGACTTTCTTCTGCATTTTGGTGGATTTACGAACCAGGAAAATCTAGGAGGGGGAAAAAATTCAAGCTGAGGAAACATCTAGAAGGTTGGAACCTGGGCATATGATTTTTCATACCTCCAACACCCACAAATTGAGCTCCCCTTTATAGCTTAACTGCAAGGCTTAATGCAGGACACTCTGCTCCCTAAGCAAGGTGGGATCAGCAGCAAGCATGCCATAGTCTATGAAGCATCTACCTATACTAATAAAAGGGTAATATGCTAATCAGACTGGGGGACCCTCTGGACATCCTTCCAGACAAAGCCATGGTGGTGGGGCTGAGGCAGAGGCAGTTAGGGGAGATCAGGCCAGTAGGGGAGAGTAGTTGGGGGTGATGAGGCTGGCAGTGGGGAGACAGTTGGGGGCGATCAGGCCAGCAAGGTGGGGCAGTTGGGGACGAGAAGGCTAGCGGGGGGGAGGGGCAGTTGGGAGCAAGCAGTCCAGCAGGCAGAGTGGTTGGGGTGATCAGGCAGGCAGGCAGGTGAGCCGTTAGGAGCCAGAAGTCCTGTATTGCGAGAGGGATCCCAGATTGGAGAGGGTGCAGGCTGGGGTGAGGGACAACTCTCCCTGCCCCCCACTCCCCCGCGCCAGCCCCCTTTCACAAATTTCATGCACTAGTTCCTTGATAACTGATTTCCATGAATTCCTTAACAGCTAACTTCCACAGAATTCCACTTTCCCTTCAACAGAACCTTCCCCAAGAGGTAAGAGCTCCCTCAGTCTGCAGAGCATTTTCAGTTTGGTGACTGTTTACGGGTGACACAGTCTCTGGCTTGGTCATATATGGGTATCTTGGTTGATGAAACCTAGATTCTAAATACAGGCAACAGGGCAATGATGAATTGAGAGTTCACTGACTAATTTGGCTCACGGGTATATTTGTGATAGAGATTTGAATTTGTTGTCAACAATGAAAAGACAGGAGTTGTTTTTTTGTGTGTTTTGTTGTTTTTCACATTAAAATCTGAATTTCTACCTTCTCTTGGAAAATTGGAATACAAGGCAAGACCAGGCATGGCAACAATCCACTGGACCCTAACCATGACGGCTCCATTGGAAGGCGGGTAGGTGTGCTCTGAAGTTCATCACGGCCAACACCATGGCTTACGGTCCATTGACTCCTGACTCACGTCACTTTCCATAGCTCCCTCCAGGTCCTGATGGCCTCAGGCACATGCTTTAACCCAGGACACCTTTCTGGCCTCCGTCACTGCAGAGGCAAGCATGCCATCTACTCCTTTTCAGGCTGTGCTCTGCATATAATTCAAAACCGAGAGGACGGGGGCACCACTGCCCAGACTAAAAATAAAAGGGTGCTCCGTGGAGTGTGCACAGGTGGCCTGGCGGAGCCTGGTTCCCTTCTGCAGCACATGCCCCTTCTCCAAGGGTCCCATACTGATGTTTCCTTAACCCCTTCCCTGCTTCCTCTGCATTTGAACTCTGTGCTCTCCGTTCCCCTACAGTCTATATTTTCCACATAATCTTCCCTGCAGTCTGTATGTCCAGTTAATAGCTCCTAAGAATCATTTTTGGGGGTGGGTAGGTGGGGTTGAAGGGGATGTTATGGGAATGGGGTGTTTGATAAGGAGTCAAATAGTTCTCTCTTTCCTTCTAGCACCCACGAGTAGGTAGCCATGGGATTTGCCTAGAAGCCAGTTCTGGGAGTCCAGGTCTTTAGGACACTCTAAAATTGAAGCAGATGTTCCCTAAATACTGTGAGAGGCAGCCGTTGGGGAGTGGAAAGGAAGTCATAGTCCCTTAGGCAGGTGGGGATTTCTGGGAGCCTTGGAGGCGGGGAGAGCACAACCTCTAGGCCCATTTCCTGAGTCTCCGTGACCTGAGATCAGGGCTCAGTGAAGTCTGGCCAGCAGACCAAATGGATTTAAATATTTGCTCCAAGTCATTTCAATACTGTCTACGGCTGCGTCTGCACTACACGGCGGACTTGAGCGGTTGTGACCAAGACTGGATGGCCCACAAAGCCCAAAATACGTACACTCTGTCCCTTTACAGAAACAGTCTGCAGCTGCCCGTCTTCAGCTGAACATTAGTGAAGGATGGTGGGCATCCCAAGGACCCCTGCCACCATGGCTAGCCTTTTCAAACCTCCCTCTCGCACCTGCTTCCCCTGCTCTTCAGCATTCTAGTTTCTTCCAGTGCATCTGGCCTCTCCTGATGCATGTTGCGCCTGTCCTCAGCCTACCCATCTCACCAGGCGGGCCCTGGCCGGGGACCAAGTAGGTGGCTAGAGTCAACATCCTGCCTGACTTGTTCCCCACCAGGTCTCAGCAGGAATGGACGTGCCTGACACCAGAAGGGGAATTGCTACCTAGCAACAGGGCCACCGCCTTCTTCAGACATGTTAGCAGACACGCAGGAGCAGACAACACAACCTCCCACACGTGGGGGTCTCACAGAAGGGGGCTCTGATTACACAGACCAAAACCAGAGACAGCAACCCAGGGCGCCGGCCAAGGAACTCTCTGCGAAGATGATCAAATGCCGCGCCCGACATCCTGATTGCGTTCCAACAGAGTTCTTAGTCCTGTCTGCCTTCTGTCAGATGAGAAACAAAGACTCGCTTATAAATCAAAAAGTGGTAACAGAGAGGCTCTGGCTGAAAGGAAACACAGAAGTTTATTTTCCTGCCCAATTGTTACAACGTCCCTCAGTTACTGACAGAGTTTTATCCGTCTTTCCACCTACTTCTGAATGTCTTGCTCTTGCCAGGTGTGGTTTCAAGTCTTATTTTATTTAGTGTGGTCATTCTTGCCTTTGGAAGTAGGCATTGCATACAAGCACTGTCCAGCAGAACTTTCTGTGATGATGGAAATGTTCTATATTCTGCACCATCCTAGATAGTAGCCTCCTGTGGCTAGTAAGCACTTCAAGTATGGCTAGTAAACAGAGGAACTGAGTTTGTGTGTTTGTTTTTTTTTTTTGTTTTTTTTTAATATACTCCACTGATTTTGTACAGAGAGGAAGGGAGAGGGACAGAGAGTCAGAAACATCAATGAGAGAGAAACATCTACCAGCTGCCTCCCGCACACCCCCCATAAGGATGTGCCTGCAACCAATGTACATGCCCTTGACCGGAATCAAACCTGGGACCCTTCAGTCTGCAGACTGACGCTCTATCCACTGAGCCAAACCCGTTTTGGCGAACTGAATTTTTAATTGAATTTCATTTAATAAATATAAACTTAAATAGCCACACGAGGCAAGTGGCTACCACACTGGACAGCAAACGCTACGCCAATCACTGAATAACTATTTTTTAAGGAAGTTCTATAGAGTTGTGGCCTGGTCTTGAATAAGATGAGACGAGACTTGAGTAGGGAATAGGTGAACAAACTGAACTGGACCTAGATTCATATGTAAAGCCACTGAGAAAGCCATGAAAACTCACTATCATCAGCCAGAGCAGACAAGTCTATGGACAATGAACTTTTGAAGGTTAGGTCCCCAGTGAGATGGTTGGGCCCTAGGCAGGGTTCCCAGACTCAGAATGAATTAAAACAACAGGGACAACCACCCCTTCTCTTCCTTCCCAACCAGGCTCTTCCTACATGTCTGGTCCTAAGAAGTCAGGCCCAGGGCCTCTGAGCAGCAGCCCCTCCTCATGACTGAGGTGCCCTGCTGTCCTGCCGAGTCCTGCCCTTCCTGGGGGTAACTGAGCAGACAGAGAGGGAAAGACACATTGTGAAGGGCTCCGGGAGCTGCCACCAGAATCTCCCTGCATTGCAACCCAGGTACACACCGGGAACCGTATTCCCTACAGGCTGCAAAGAACTTTCTAGAACTCCCAGTCTTTTTGTCTTTAAGGATGTGGCAGCGCTGCCTGCCTCAACCTGTCTCCTTGAGGCTCTGAGTCTTACCCCCGGGGGCTGGGACTGTAGGACTCCTGCCGCCTCCTCCTCACTCAGATTCAGCTGCAGCCATATGGAGTGGGTGTGGAGAAGCCGGTCCAAAATGCTGAGCCTGCTGGAGAGGCTGTCATAGCCGGAGTCCCGGGGACAGGTCTTCACTTCCTTTTCCTGGGGACAGCCGTCGTCCTTGTGTCTCACCATGCTAGGAGAGAGAGAGTCGGCAGGGGTCAAATGGCTGCGGCACAGCTCCCCTGACACAGACACGGTTCTGCAACCTCAGAGGCGAGGCCTGCCATAGCACATACCCCATCTTGTCACCACTACCTGCTTGTCTTCCCCTCCAGAGCGGAAGCCTGAGGGCAAACACCAGGTTATATTTCGCTCCGTAGCCCTGATATTAAACGGCATATTCAACAACACTCAATGGACCTTCTCTTTCTAACCCAGTTTCATAAAGGTTCTAAACATCCTAAATGCTGTTTAGTCTATCTTCTGGCACAAAGCATTTCTTCCTTTGGGCACAGACCCCCCCTAAGTACTAAATTCCATATGGGAACCATGAAGTTCTAAAGCTCAAGAGACGATATCATAAGAAGGACCAGGGCATGCTCTAAGCAAAAACAAACCATTCACATGCATGCACATTCATTCTGTGTCCAAATGAATTGCATTTCATTTCTTGTCACATAGGTAGGAATTTTATTACTAATAGTGGAACAGCTGAACAACCAGTCGCTATGACATGCGCTGACCACCAGGGGGTGCGTGTGAAACATGGCAGGCGTTGGCAGCAGGCAGCAAAGTGCAGAATATGGGGGCCATCAGCCACGATGGGATGGTGGAGCAGGTGAGTGGGGTCGCCAATTGCTATCATCTGGTGGTTACTGAAAATTCTTTGCTCCTGTGTGCTGCAGTCCACCCTGTGCTTGCACCTGCTGCTGGCGCCCAGCACCAGCCCTAATCACTTGGTGCCTTCAGCAGGTGCAAGTGATGGCTGCCAGCCCTGATTACCCCTCAGGGATTCTCCACCTCCTCCTGCTCCTGAGGGGTGATTGGGGCCAGCAGCTGCCTCTCGCACCCGTTGCAGGCTCTGGCCCCACTCAAACCTGCTGCTGGTGCCAGCCCCAAAAGCTCTGCACTGTGAGCAGGTGCGAGCGGGTGGGCGCCAACAATGGTGGCAGGAGCGGGGCTGCCGGCAGACAGGAGACCAGGGGCCACAGCAGGAGGGACCGAGTGGGGGCAAGAAGAGTGGGCTGAGACTTGCCCCTGTGCCCTCTTAAGGAGCATGAATTCGTGTACTGGGCCCCTAGTATTATTTATAATGAAACCTTTCAGCAGTATGTTGCTCTGCTATTCATAAAATTATATTGACATTATTCATAATCACCATAAAGTGGAAATAGCCCAAATTTCTATCAGGTAATGAATGAATATAAATAAAATGTGGTATACTAGTAGCCATACTTTTTTTCAGCATAATATTCATTCATCCTTTTATGAATAAAGTACTGATCCATGCTACAACATGGATGAATCTTGAAGACATCATGCTGAAGGAAAAACCTTAGACACAAAAGGCCTAATATTCTATGTTTCCATGTATATAAAATATCTAGATAGACAAATATATACTGAAAGAAAAATTAGCGGTTGCCTGGGACTGGGAAGAGGTGCAGGATGGGTAGTGATTACAAATGAGTATGGAGTTTCCTTTTGATGAAATGAAAGTGTTCTGGAATGAGATGTGTGGATATACTGAAAATCACTGAATCCTTCACATTAGATTTTGAATTGTATGTCATACGAGTGAAAGCTCAATAAAAAAAAATCACAATGACTTCCATGGTTGCTTATGGCCCCAACATTAATCCTGTTATTGAGCATTTGGTTCCCATTTTATAAATGAGGAAACTGAGGTCCAAGAAGTTATCAAGCTGTCCTGAGTTATAAACAGCTATGAGACGGCAAAAATAGAAATTTAAGTGGTCTGGTGTTTACCCAGCTCTGCTGTAATGAATAAGATCACGAACACAGGATAGCTTGTACCTATGTGGTGTCTACCCCCGGCCAGGCCCTTTGCAAACATTTTCTCATTTACTCCTCTCAACAGCCCTGAAAGGAAGATACTAGGATCCCAGTTTAAACAGAGAGGACTGGGAGGCTCAGACTGATTGAGTGACTTGCTCAAGGACAGGGCTCTGCTAAGAGAGAGAAGATAGAAATTCCAAGCCAAGTCTGTCAGCTCGGGGGTCTCTTCCCCTCCCCCACACTCAGAACTCTCCCTTTCCCTGGCTCTCAATGAGCCTGTAATCAGCTCCTGTCCTGGAGCAAGCCAGCAAAAACATCAGACCTGACCCTTCATGTCTGAAGGGCCAAGATCAGATTGGAGTACACACAGACTTGAAATGTCTAACCCTAACCCCAACCCCAAGTGTGTAGTCTGGGTGAAGACCTCAACACTGAAAAAGATGAGTGATGGTCCCAAATGTAAGGGAGCCTGCGGGTAGGAGGTGTGCTATTTCCAGGTGGACCTCTCCCCTCCGAGGAAGGTAGACTGAATGTGGACGAAGCCCATCCAAGGTGATCATTCTGGGGTCTCCTGTGGGTAGCAACCCATAATGGATAGCCTGGGGGCTGGCCAGAAACCCCATCCTAACTTCTCCCCTACACCTTCTTGACTTTCTACATCTCTAAAGACTCATGTCAAGAGTTCCATTTAGCTTTCTCTCAAATATGTGAACGTTTCCCTTTACCTCTGCTACATGTTTCCAGATGGGAGACTCTGACAAGAAAGGGCCATTTCTCATCGTGCATATGATATTCCAGGGTGTGTTGAAGTGAATCTTTGCAGCTAATAAGAACAAACTCTTCAAAATGAATCTGGTGTGAAAATTCCTTTCCCATAAGGTAATAGGAGACTTTTGACCAGCAGTTCTCAACCCTGACTGTCTATTATTAAAATCGCCTGGGGAGCTTAAAACAATTTTGATGGCCAGACTTCACCCAGATCAAATAAATCAGACACATCAGGTAGGGTGCAAGCATCAGAATTTTTTCAAGTTCCCCAGACAACCCTGACATGCAGCCAAGTTTACAACCACTGCTTTGGACTAGCTCTTGAACCTACATTAGCATCACCTGGGGTTTGTTAAACCACAGTTTCCTGGTTTCAATCCTGCAGGGTTGGGGTGGGCCTGGGACTCTGCATTTCCACCAAGACCTGGGTGACGTTGCCAGCCTGAGGAGCACTTGCATGAGACCTAAATGCAAAATGTGCACTGGAACTCAGATCCAATTAGGTGTTGTTGTTTTTAAAATGTATTTTATTGAGTTTTTACAAAGAGGAAGGGAGAGGGATAGAGAGTTAGAAACATCATTGAGAGAGAGAAACATCGATCAGCTGCCTCCTGCACAACCCCTACTGGGGATGTGCTTGCAACCAAGGTACATGCCCTTGCCCGAAATTGAACCCAGGACCTTTCAGTCCACAGGCCGACGCTCTATCCACTGAGCCAAACAGGTTAGGGCACATTAGGGGTGTGTGTGTGTGTGTGTGTGTTAGCGGGAGGGGGGGGGCAGTAACATGGCACAGAAAGAACTCACAACCCAATTAAAATAACATTTTATGCTGTCTGTAGTTGTCGATATTTTACCAAGATCAAATTCTGCAACCTCTAAATAGCAACCCTGACACCCAGGTGCGCTGAGAGTAAACATGTTGACAGCTTTCCTTCCTTCGGAGGATATATCCCTTGACACCTCAAGAAGCTAAAAACTCTGTTCTGACAACTGACCTCAGCCTAAAAAGCCGGGGCCTCCATGGGGAGCTGGTAAATAAGATTCATGGGGCCTCATAAAGGAGCAACCATAAATTAGACCTCATCTTTGCCAATGACTAAGCCAACGCCTTTACTCAGCTAGCTATTCTTTGATGTTTATGGCCTACTATTACAGAACAAATTGGCTTTTATCAGCCAGCCTAAAGCACAACCTCCAGGAAAGAGCTAATGAAGGAAATGCTGAACCTGTAGTGAATGCTGATGGTGCCCTGCCCAGTCCTCCAGTAACAGATCGGGCACCCATGCCCCTGCTGCCCCTTTTTCTTGAAGATTCCTGGGAAGTTACCCTCTCCCCGGGAACAAGGGCACTGCTAATGACACAGGGTGTAGGGGAGTGGTCTTCTCGCCTACGGGGAGGACAACTCTGGGTGCTATTCACACTCAGAGCTCCCTGTGCAAAGGCTGAGGCTAGACTCGAGCGGGCCCTGGTTCTCTGCCTGGTTTCCTCCCGTTCTGCCCTGTATCCCTCAGCCCCGCACACACCGCTCCTGAGCCCCCCTCAGTAGATCACAGCACAGGAATCCCTCCCCGCCTCAGGCGCTGCGTTTAGGGAACTCAACCTAACACAGAAGCTGAGGAGATTAATAGAAAGTTATAAACCCAACGCAGCTTCTCGAGACCAGGTGCCCAGGAAGCTCCCTTGCTCCTCTCAGTCCACCACCCCCTCTGCCCAGGCTCCATCCCAAACAACACAGCCTTTGACTCTACCGCCCAGTGTGGTTTTTCAAATGAATGACAATTAGCAAAGCGATACATCAAACACATAAAACTCTGATATCGGGTTGTTTCTATGAAAAAACAAAACAAAAAAAACCACACTGATGTAATAAATAGTCAACATATTTTCTATGTAAGAATGTCACATGTAGATAATATGTATAAGAATATAAAAATCCTCTCTTGGTGAATAGCCAAAATAAAGCTTAAGAGAACTAAGATATAAAGCAAAATGCCAAGTCCTTACTATCAACAAGGCTGGTATACGTCCATGTATAAAGTCTCAGCACTGGCACAGGCTCTGGACGGCTCTGTGCTCAACCTTAGGGCACCGGGACCGGACGAGTAGGGCCCCCAGACCTCCACGTGAGTGAAAAACACACCTTCCTTAAGCTGAACAATTATATATTTTAAATGGGCAATTTGTATCCACGGCCATGATACGATGCACTTGATTAGTTTTGAAGGATCCAACTGGTTTCAATTAAGCATTTAAAGTGTACTAAGAACATTCCCGTCTACAGCAGACTGTCTGATCATATTATAGTTCAACCAAAGACACTGGTATAGTTCATGAACAACCTCTGGAAACCTCTCACAGAAGGAATGGCAAGTCCTCTTGGAAACGAAGCAGGTGGAAGGGGCC